CGGACAGGGTGCGGTTTCTTGTAGCTTAGTTTTGGGCTAGTGTTTGGTGAACCGACGGACAGTCCCTCCTCAGATGAGGGGTACTTGCCCGAGTGTTTTTTTTGAAGTTAGACTATAAAAGCGTAGACATTAGCGGTACTATTCCTCTCGGGTTCCCGCGGCGTTTAGTTGACCGTGACGACGGTGAACTTAAGCCCGGGGCGGAAGGTGGAACGCGGTGGTTCTTGGGCGTGTTGGACTTGTTTTGTGGTAACCCATTGGTTTGTCATCGTCTACTTGTCTACTATCACTACGGTGATTGTGTGTTCTTTTGCACTGTGTGCTTTCACTACTAGGTGTTAGTCACTACTGTGTGTGAAGCAATGTGTTCTTTTGCACTGTGTGCTTTCACTACTAAGTGTTAGTCACTACTGTGTGTGAACCAACATCATAATCTTGTAACGCATGCGTGAACTTGTCTGGGGACGTCTCCCGGATTAAAGTGAGCGTCATTAATCTGTACCGTACCGATTGTTACGTTTGGCGACGAAGTTGCGTTAATTGAAGTTGTGAACCTACCAGTGAGCACGAACGTCATGAAGTTGTGAACCTACCAGTGAGCACGGACGTCATCAGAATTGAACGTGGAGAAGGGTGAAGATTTGATACGATCGGAGCGCGATGTCGAGTTCTGAACGTCACGACGACGAGAGAGATAGGCGACCCTACAGGTCGTCGGTGAAGTGTTTTTAATGCGATGAGCTGGGCCACTATGCGAACCAATGTCCCTATCGAGAAAGACGGCAGTACTCCAACAGACCGTCCACGTCAGCGGACTCAAGGCGATCACGATCTCCAAGGAGATATGAAACTCGGCGGAGAGAGTTTTCTCCGAAGAAGGGACCGGACCTGCAAGATCAAATGGCTGATCTCGCTAAGGGAAAGACTACGATGAAGGAACACTTCGATCAAGTGCGGACCAAGAAGGAAGAGAAGGCACGACGGAAACTCGAGAAGGAACGTGCCAAGGAAGCGGAGAGATTAAGAATTGAAGAGGAGGAAGCACGTTCGGCGCAGGAGGAAGCACGACGTGAAGCCAAGAAACGGAGGAAGGAAGAGAAGGCCAAGCAGGAAGCTACCTTGAAAGCTGCTTTGAAGAAAGACGTCACCATGCACGTAGCCATGTTGATGAGCGAGATCAAGGACGATTGGATACGACAGTGGAAGACTACGGTTCTTCCTACACTCACAGGAGGGGGATGCGATGTGAAGGGGAAGAAACAGGTCAAATTTGAGAAAGAGGAGGGTAGTGGGACGGAGTGCAGCAGTGAAGGGAGCGAGATGAGCGTGATGCAAGAACTGAGCGAGAAGACCGAGCGCCTGTGTATTACCGAAAAGAGGAAGAGAACGGAGGATTTGTCGTTTGCCGATAGTCCTCCTATGGAAGCGCCTCCGAAGCGAACCCCTAATCGGGGGGTGGTCAGATTTGGTGAACCGAGTCCACGCACTACACGTGCCAGAACGAAAGGAGCCCGTACTCCGATTCCAGCAAAAAGGAGATCACCCATCAAGACACCATTATTGAAGTTTACAAAGAATCGCAAACAATCTCCTCCAAGCGGGAAGCTGACGCCCGCTAGTAAGTCGTTGACTCGACTCCGGCTTCGTGATGCAATCATGCGAGAATTGAAGGATTGCAACGCTGAAGAACTTCAGCGCTTCTGTAAAGACGAAGGCATCCAATATGGAGGTAAGATTGACGCCATTTTCGATCTTGCCGAGCATCGTTCCAGCGGCAGTTTCCTTGTAACACTCCATCATCCGAAGTTATTCGAATTAGCGATTCTATCGAAACCCAGGCAAGCGAGTCAACGGAGAATCAGGAGTGATGTGACATTCGTCCCGTCCACTGGCTGAAAATATGTCGGTAAGTCACCAGTAAGCGGTGTGATCAGGTATTCGTCGATCGGAATTGGGAGAAACTACTACGATTGATTGTTGTATTGCTAGCTCTGACTAATCAGGTACGGTGGTTGCAGAAATATGTGGGTCATTGGCTGCGTTTGTACGAGTTGTACGGAGTTGACTTCTTGGATAAGGATGGAATTGTCTACGTTGCAGTGTCCCCATATTGTAAGCATTGTTATGTCGGAAAGACGGTACGTACCTGTGATGTGAGATGGCGTGAGCACTTGTACGTAGTTCGGAAACGTACACAGTCCCACTTCCACCGATGGATATCTTCCTTCGGCATAGGTAACTACGTTTTGCTCCCTGTAGACGTCTTTGATGGTCAAGATCTGTGTAGATTGGAGGAACTGTACATTAGTAGGTGGTCCCCATTTCTGAATTCCGTCGGTACAAGGAAGGCTACAAAGCACGGGAAGAAGAGACCCGGTCGGAAGGAAAGGAGTAGAGGTAAGGTCAACACTCTATCCAATCGTGAAGTTAAACCGGTACGTTTTCACTGCTATCAGACGAGTCTTGACTTTCTTGACCTCTATTCTTTTTTGGATAACGTCCTGGAATCAGAGAAATATCCACGACAGGTTAGATCGGAGGGAGGTACCGATTGGACCCCGAAATGGAAGAAACTATCCCGGATGTTTGGTGAGAGTAAGGTTAAGATTGACTCCGTGTGCCGACCGCTGAAGGATTGTAAATTGTTATGGGAGAAGGGTGACGACTTTGAGATTGTTCATGTTGTGAAATGGCAAGCCAAGTGCAAGTTTTTGAAGAAGTTGTTGATCGGTATTTTGCGAAATCCTAACAAGCTGAATGATATCTATAAGTGGGGGATGAATGTTGTTCTTAGGCTATATCGAGTGATCAAGGATTTTTCTAGGAAATCTACTCGTAAATATTTACGAAGATTAATCTCTCGGTGTTTCCGAGACAGGTTTAACTTAAGCCTGGCTTCTGATCTTACGTTCCGGATCAAGTATGATAACCGAGTTGTGATCTCCGAAGTGAGGAAAGTGGCTAACGACGCGTTGTTGAGTTGTCAATTGCCACTATGTTTTGTTCATCGCGCACGGAGGAAAATTCGCATAGTAGGAACGAAAAGTCCTACTGTTGCCGAGTTGTTGCATAACCATAAAAGAGCTTCTTCGAATGGTGTGCTTACCTCCAATTGTGCAGGGATGATTTTCCCTCGCGTGAATGGACACGTGATATTCCGACTGAGTGAGGTAGCCGATTTGCACCCACTCTTGTCAACACATGAACAACATTCCTATAGTTGAGCGTACAGATAGACTCAGTCTTCTACGTGACGAGATTAGTGCAGGCTTTGAGTGCTGGAGAAATCTGAATGGTCAAATTCCGAATTGTTCGACTTTAGACTTGAATGCATGCATCACAGATGGAGATGATGTGTCCCACTGTGTCTCCGATAAGGAAGTTTTAGCCCTGAAACAAAGATTGGAAGGCCTGGTAATCGCCCCAGCGGATAGGAATCCGGGCGAGTCCGTTGTGTTATGCCCTGGCACTTATCATGAAGCCATGATGACGACGCTCGTGTGTAATCCCGGGTACCGAATTATTCCCTATTCGGAAAAGGAGGCTTTACGGGAATTACGGGAAGACATAAGACGACATAATTTGAGCAGAGTGGTTCAGTGGGAAGCCAAGGGGACGTTTGGTGCTGCCTACGTCATCCCTAAACACAAGGATTTGTGTCGCTTCAGACCGATCTGTCCTTCCTATATGGAACCAATGGTACGTACCTCGCGCTTGATGAGTAGAGCATTGAATCACCTGCTCTACAGTTTACCTAAGAACTGGCACTTTAATCTGAAGTCTGTGTCTGACCTTACGGTGAGCTTGGACAACATAAACAGGAAACTAAGTAAATTGGGAGGTAAACGACTAATCTCCTCATACTCCTTCGACGTGAAGGAGATGTTCAGTAAGTTGCCTCACAACACTTTGTTGCAAGCCATTGATTGGATAGTTAAGTACTTTCTGACCAAGGGTTTTCAGTTTGTTCGAGTCAATACCGGTGGGAAGGGAGCATCCTTTGGGGTCACCACAGGTGCTGATCACTGGAAAAAGTTTGATTTGACGGACATCGTGAAGTTTGTCCATATTGAAGTCGATCATACTTTCTGTTTTGCCACAGGAGTCCTGTTGAAACAGGAACTGGGTGTTCCCATGGGCAAGAGCATGAGCCCTGCGATTGCATGCATCATGTGTGCATATTCAGAGTATCAGACGACGTGTACTTTGGGTCGCTTGAACCGCTGTTTCGGTGCTTTGAGACTAATTGATGATGTCCTGTTGGCCATTTCAAGTAAGAATGAGTCGACAAAAAGAAGAATTTTCGAAGGACTTACCAGTTGCTATCCAAAGAACCTGACTTTGAAGAGGACTGATGATGGGTCTGGAATTTTTTAATTCCTGGGATGTCAAATTCGTACAGAGCAGAACTACCCTTTCCTGGGTAGTGTACAGGTGTCCAGGAACAAATCGAGCATCTGGTCCGAGGAACCGTTGAAGATACAGAATGGACAGTCCTTCTACTCATGGAGAAGCAAGAAACAGAAGAGTGCAGTAATCGGAAGCCATTTGCACCGTATTGATCAGAATACGTCGATACAGTATGAGATACCTTTGAAAGTGTTGGGGCTCCAACAGGAGTTGATGAAGAAAGACTTCCCTGTCAAGTTTGTGAATAGAGTCTTCCGACGTTACGGTAGCAGAAGAG